TTTCTTGCCCTTGCAATTCGACAACTTCGCAGCAATCACATGGAATGATATTTAACGAGAAAGAAATTTTACTGAATCCCTCTCCACAGCAGCTCAGTGAAAACAATGGCCAGCAAGTAAACACCTCTCATCGGCACAAGTCTTCTATTGCCTTGTTGATCAAATAGTTCAAACACTAGCAGCAAATTTCACAACGCCATCTCCCCAGATAAAACTAAATAACCCATCATGTTACGACAGTACTCGAGACATTCAACCAAGTATAAGAAAACAAAAGCATAACTCCCATTAGCTACATTACATAAGTCCCATCGAGTAGTTCCATATCATAAAAACAAAAACCAGAAATTGTAATGAAACATACAATTGTCGATTAGCATTTCTTACATTTAAGAAGCATGGTCTTCACAACAACACACATTTTAAATATGACAGTCTTCTGGGATATAAAGCCATGACATCTGACAATAGACGGCATTAATGCATCACCAAACACAGCGATAACTGGTATGCAATTGGGTAAGTTCACCACTGTACATGACCTTCACAACCTGCCCTTTCTCGAGGCCATAGTAACGAGCAATTGCATCTTTTTGCAGCTGAAAAGGTCATTATTGAGATTTAATCAGAAATCGGCTTGTTAAGATACTTTTGATAAGCAAACTCCATACAAAATAAACATCACAAGATAACTATGCATTAATACTGGTTCATTTTAGCATATTAATACGGAATAAATTAGAATCTTTAAAATTGCAATTACCCTGTTCATCATGTTCCACTGCCCAACTTGTGGCAAACAGTCCCTATCCCGACTAGAATCATGATATCTAAGCTGTAATAACACAAAACTTGTGAAACAATTTACCATCAAAAGAACTAATAAAATTTAGGCCAACATACACAGCAAAGCAATGATCAAAGTTATGTANTTAATACTGTTTCATTTTAGCATATTAATAAGGAATAAATTAGAATCTTTAAAATAGCAATTACCTTGTTCATCATGTTCCTCTGCCCAACTAGCGGCAAACAGTCCCTGTCCCGACTAGAATCATGATATCTAAGCTGTAATAACACAAAACTTGTGAAACAATTTACCATCAAAAGAACTAATAAAATTTAGACCAACATACACAGCAAAGCAATGATCAAAGTTACGTACCCCGGGAGCAGGCAGAATGCGAGCCTCAACTTGAGCCAGCTTCTGGCTGATTTTAATTCCAAACTCTTTAGCGTAAGGGTCCTCAGAATAAACATTATGATGTACAGTCTGGGATGAAAAAATATGGTGTCAAAGTAGTTGGAGCACTCTCAGCAACAAAATGCATCATTCAGATACCAAAGGCAACAAGCTTTAAACCATAATTTGCATAAAACGTCCAAACACAACAAGCCACAAGATGCACATGAATTCCAATAAAAATACCCACATTTTGTAGAAAAACACAGTGGATTCACCGCCTGATGAGGAAGGAATCAAATGCTCATCAATCACAGTCATAATATCACCACAAATATTGGACAATTCTGATTCAACCTTCTGCCACCACCATTACCGGTCACCACCATTACCACCACCACTGCCATCTCCAACCACCAGCCACCACCGATCACCACCATTGCCACCACCACTGCCATCACCAACCACCAGCCACCACCATTGAAAAAACCAAAAAGCCCCCACCGCCCGTCACCACCACCACTGCCGTCACAACCACCACTGCAATTTCCAATCAAAACAACCGAAATCGAAAAACCCAAAAAATCCCAAA